CCCCCCCCCCCCCCCCAATTTTTATTTTTTTTGTGCTTTTATTCTCTTTTGCTTTTCTACTTCTTCCTCCTTCAATGATTCTTCATTTGTGTTCATGATTATTTGTTTTTGCCTTTTTCTGCATTCTATATTTGAGTTCCCGTTCATATTCTTTTGTTTCTTCTTCATTTGTTGGGTCAAGTTCGAGTTCCTATTTTTTTCTAATATTAAGTTCCTATTTTGTTCCTATTCTTATTTTTAGGACAATGTCTACCAACCTAAACCAAAGTCAGACATCCTCAAATTCTATTAAGAGGATAGTTATAGGATGGAAACATTGTCGTCCAACCAAAGAGAATGGTACCAATGAAATTGTTTGCAATAACTACAAAAAGATAATGAAAAGGAGGACTTACAAGAGAAAAGAATCATCTAATAGGATAGAAGGGAAATGTTCCATTCTGCCAAAGTTGTCCAAAAGAAGTTAGAGATGTGTTGTGGGCACTTGAGAAAAAAAAAAGTGGATGAAAAAGAGTGCGTCATACCAAAGAGAAATAGAAGATATAACTCTTGATAGTGAAGATCATACATTGGAGGAGATTTTGGAGAATTAGAAACTCAAATACCTGTTACTCCCAATGAGAAGAAAAAGGCTGCTATGAAGAAGGGACCTATTGACCTTTTATGTAAACAGCCAAAAACAGGAATTGCAAAAAACAAAGAGATATTAAAGCCAACAAGTATAAGGGAGACTTGTGACAAGGAAGCTTAAAGAAGGATCACCAGTATATAGCCTAGTTTTGGTATCAAGCTGGACTATCTTTCAACATGATCAAATTGGAGAACTTCCATTACATGGTTGCAATTGCAACTATTGGATCTTTTGGACCACATTTTTGACTTCCATCTTATCATAGGATAAGAGTTCCATTTCTTCAAAAGGAGGTGGAGTACATGGATAATTTAATTAAGAGTCAAAGGCAACAGGGAGCAATTTTTGGGTGTTTCATCATGTTAGATGTTTGGATGGATAGGAAGCAAAGATGCATAATTTTTTGGAGAACTCTTCAGTAGGTACAATGTTCATCAAATTTGTTGATGGGTCTAATTTTGTGAAGATGGGATTGAAGTTATTTAAGTTAATTGTCTCAACTGAAGAGGATATTGGAGAGGAAAAAGTTGTCCAAATCATAACAGACAACAAGAGTAACTATGTTCTTACCGGCAAGATATTGGAGTAAAAAAGACCCAAAATTTATTAGACTCCATTGTAGCACATTGCATAGCTTTAATGTTGGAGGACATTGGGATGCTTCCCAAAATTAAGACAATTTAGCGAGCAATCTCTCTTGTTGGTTTTATTTATGGCATTCAAGCACTTTAAGTTTGTTAAGATTCTATACAAACAAAAGGGAATTAGCGAGGTATGTAGTAACTCAACTTGCAACACCTTTCCTTTCCCTATAAAGGATCCTCCAAGAGAAATCAAATTTAAGAAAGATATTGTTTCGAATGAGTGGAATTCAAACAACTTGACAAAAAAATCAAAAGGAAAAGAAGCAAGTAAAATTGTATTATTGCCTACTTTTTGGAGGAATGTGATGTATATACTTAAAGTCATGGCTCCTATTGTGAAAGTACTTAGGCTAGTTAATGGTGAGAAAAAGCCAACTATTGACTATATATATGATATGAAGTTGTGGACAAGGCAAAGGGAACCATTATGAAGTCTTTTAATAACAATGAGGGCAAATACAAAATGTTTGAAATTGTTGATAGAAGATAGAATATTCAACTTCATCGCCCATTACATGCAGTGGGTCATTTTTTGAATCTAGAGTTGTTTTACGACAACCCTTAGATGGAATTTGATAGTGAGATTATCAGGGGCTTATATTCATGCATCAATAAGTTGGTAAGAAAAGTGGAGCAGAAAATCATGTTGGTACACACTTATAAAGTTGTAGGGGAAATGTTTGGGAGTAATGTTGCCAATATCAATGAGGAAAGAGGTTTCACCGGATAAGAAACAAAGCCTTTAAAAGTTTTGAACTTTTATTCTTTATGTCATTTGCTTCAATGTTTAACACACTTTCTTTGGCTTTGTAGCTCAATGGCAGAGACTCTATGGTTCATCAACTCCCAATTTACAAAAACTAGCTATAAAGATTTTAGGCTTGACTTGTAGTTCATCCAATTGTGAACGTAGTTGGAGTGTCTTTGAGCAAGTAATTGATTTGTATTTTAAGAGTCAATAATTAATTACCAATTTTTCTTATAATTATTGCTTTATTTAACTTAATGATACAAATTCATACTAAGAGAATGAATAGGCTTGAGCATAAAAGATTGCATGACTTGTTCTATGTCAAGTATAATCAAGCACTTGGGCAAAGATAAAACCTTAAGGATGAGTTGATCCCATTAGCCTTAATGATACTAATGAATGCAACGAATGGCTAGTAGGAGAGATGGATGAGGATGATGATGAAGCTCAAGAGAGAGAGAGTTTTTGATGGAGATGATCCACTTACTTGGGGAGATATTTATAGGGTTTCAGAGGTTGGAGAGCCCACAATGTATACTAGGGATAACAAAAGGAAGCAACCTATAAGTGGGGAAGGAGCATCAGCTCAAAAATCTTTTAAAAGAGGCAAAAGAGGGCCTTCTTCAACTAGAAAAGGAAAAATGGTTTGAGTTGAAGAAGATTTAGAAGACATTAGTGAGGAATCAGAGGAAGAATTGTCAAATATTAATTTTGACAATTCAGAAAGTGAAGAAGCTCAAAGCTATGCCACTTTGACTTTTAATGAGAAAAATGATTACGTTGAGGAAGGTGAAGGGAGTGATTAAAATTAGATTAGCAAAATGTGTCTTATTGTCTTTCTACTTTTTATTACATTTTAATCAATTATGTTTATGAGACTTTAATGAATTATGATATTGTTGATTTGATATTCAACTATTTAAGTCGATATTCAGTTGTTTTAATTTATTTGTGTTGTTTCTTTCAGATTTTGTGTGTGTGTATAGTTCAAGGTTATTGATAATGGATAACCGACTATGGCAATAAACCAAAAATCTGCTATAAACATATGGTGGAAAAAAAATAAATTATAAACAGCTAAAATAAATTAAAAACAACAGAATATCAACTTAAAGAGTTAAATATAAAAAAACAAAACAAAATAAAAGATACGGAACAAAATTAATTTTCAATGTTACAACAAAATAGGAAGTCAAACTTGACCCAACAAATGACAGAGATGAAGAAGAATTAAAAAAATAAAAGATGAAGAGCAGGAACTCAAATAGAACAAAACATATGAAGAATCATTGAATAGGTGAGGAAGAAGTAGAAAAATAAATAAATAAATGCAAAAAAAAAAAAAAAAAAAAAAACATAAAAAACAATTAAAAAGGTAAGAAAAAATAAAAAAAAAAAAAGAAAAAAAAAAAAAAAAAAAAAAACTTGTTTTGAACCTCACTCCGAAGTTCACCGGAGTTGTTCACCAAACTAAGGGATCGTCGTAGTCTAGGTTGCTGGAGAGGGGCTGCTACTATTCAAGTCAAAGTTGAACAAAGGTTCAGATAACCCTAGGACAGCAGCAACGTTTGGGTTTGGGAGCAACAGTGTTCTATGTCCGTTTTGCGTTCAAGGCAAAAGTGTTTGGGTTTTTCTTTCAAATGGGTTGGGACAGAAACCCTAAAATGGGACTTTTTATGAAAAAAAAATGTCATGACTGCTATAAAGGTTTACTGCATGATGGCCATGGCGGATATGGTGGACACCACCATAAAACGCCAAATAATGGATGGCGATTTGGCCAGAGACTGTTCCTCTATTTTGTTATAACGGGGTTATAACCGTTATTTGATAATATTGATATTTTGTTCACCATATGTTTATGGCCGATTTTTGGCTCACCTCCACAGATCGTTATTTGTTCTTGTACATGATACACATAGACACAAACATATATATAGTACAATCGCAATTTCCACTATTTGTCCACAATGCTATCTGCTATTTCACATGGCATATTTTTGGCTTTCCACCATTTTCCACAATCCTCTATCGATAACACTGATGAAAAATTTTGCATTATATTCTAAATTTGAATACATATTCGATATAAGAACTCACCATCCTTTCTCATTTCAGGAAGAAGACCAGATGCATGCTTCTTAACAATTTTCAAATAGCCATCAACCTCATGTTCAGGGACATTAAACAATACAATGGAGCCATACTGAAAAACCACCAAGTAACAACCATTGCTTCCACTCAAGAAAACACCTGGACCCTAAAAATGTACTTTGCAGTTACTATCATTGATCTAGTGACTTAAAATGTTTATTAAATAGTTGAGAAGGCACACAATACACTTAATCATCCAATGCATGAAAATAAAAGAAAAAAAAAATAGTTATAGCTTATAATGTAAAAACACTTAATCAAACCAATGTAAACATGTATTGCAAATCTTCACAGACATCATGGCAATATGTAAAAATGTATAGATTTTTATTTTGCTGAATGTAAAAATGTATAGATGATTTCCCCTACTTCAACTTTTATCGTGAACCTCATTCTAGAAAGAATCTATTTATACACCACAAGCATGAGTTCGGTCTCATGATGCTTTTGATATGAAAAAGTTTAAACATTAAAGAACAACAAAATAAATTAGCTAAGGGTGTTTTTGGATGAGGAATTTAGAAATTCAAAGAGTTTGAAATTCATAGAATTTTAAATATTTCGATTTCAATTTCCATCATTCTTTAAATTTTTTTTTGGACATGTCAATTCAAATTTCTTAAATTTTAAATTCTCAGTTAAGATATGTGAATCTGATTTTCACCATGGTAAAATCATGTCACATCATCATATCACACCATTACATCACATCACCATATCACATTATCATATTATGACATCATATTCACAATTTGCATAGAGCACTCTAATTCATTTTCAAAATTAACCACATACTCATGCATCACATCTAACAAGGAACACAAAAAACAATCAGAAGGCAAAACAGAAAAGATTCATATTTTTCCCGGTTTCTCATAGAGTTTCTCGTAGGAACTCACATAGCAGTTCCCGTTTTCTCATAGAGTTTCTCGTAGGAACTCACAGAGCAGTCTAATTCATATAAAAACATATTCATTTTCAAAATTAACCACATACTCATGCATCGCATCCAAAAAGGAGCACAACAAAGCAATTAGAAGGAAAAACAGAAAACATTCATATTTTGCCCATTTTCTCATAGGGTTTCCTGTAGGAACCCACAGAAATCTCAAATCATACAATTACAATTTTAAAACTAAAATTAATCATTCATTCAAGAAATTTATACAATTAATTACATACAAGATGAACAATAGATGAAACAGACACAATTGGGGAAAACCCCTCATACCTATCATACAACAAACATAGGATTGGAGGCCAAACCCACTACCCAACATACATTCCCATAGCCAGAATAAGGTTTCTCACTCCCTCTTACCTGTATGAGCAGAAGATGATTGGTCTTGGTGTGATCTAAGATCGTTCCTAAGTACTCTTCCTTCCTCTTTTTTTCCTTAACCCTTCAGAACACAAATGAGACAGATAGGGTTAATGCTACCGGACTTCTTTCTTAAAATTAATCCATTGGGCTGGGTCAACCCAACCCATTTTCCTTCTTTTCTAACTCACTTCTCTTTTTCCTCAAAATAATTAAATAAAATAAATACATGTATGTTATAAAATATTTTTCCTCTATTATAATAATAATATATTTCTGACCCAAAATATAATAATATAATTTCAATAACAAAATATCATATAAAATCAACCTTCTCTTAAAACATATAAATATTTATTTAAAAATGCTAATAAAAATACTTATTTAATACGTACAAAATAATTGTCCAAAACAATAATTATTTAAAACGTACAAAATAATATTCCTCTATAATTATTAAAATAATTATGACCAAATACCATATAGTAATAATAATGGAAAACAAGAAAGAAACATAACAAAGAAAAATGAAGTAAAACAGTACAAAAATGATACCTTTTGTTATTTTCTGATGAATGAAGTAGATTGAGAAATGAAAATGAAAATTCTACTAGAAAAGAACAAAACTTTATCAAGACAGTGATGTAAGAAAAAGGAACTGATGAGAAAAGAAGGCAAAGTCGCATATTAACTGTGTAATTGTTATTATTATTATCATTACTTTTATATAGTTAATAATTATAATGGGATGAAATACTTTTTTTTGTATATACCACATATATCCTTTATTAAATGCAATCTTGTTTTAATCAGGTAAGACCACATGGTGAAGTAATTGAATGTAACATTTACAGAAAATAAAAAATAAAATATGTTTTTAGCGTTATGAATTTAAATAATTAAATTTAGTATTTATTTTTTAAAATATGACAAAATCCAACATGTATCACTTTTATAAGTGATTTATAGTCCATTAGTTTTCCTCACTGTTGGGTTAATCTCATCTTCATGGTCATATCCTATACCATCCACATTTGAAGTTACATAAAGAAAAAGAACCTTTGGGGGAAAAAACCCTAGAAAATGAAGAAAAATAAGAAAGAAACATAACAAAGAAAAATGAAGTAAAACACTACAAAAATGATTCCTTTTGTTATTTTCTGATGAATGAAGGAGATTGAGAAATGAAAATTAAAACTCTACTAGAAAAGAACAAAACTTTCTCAGGACAGTGATGAAAGAAAAAGGAACTGATGAGGAAAGAAGGTAATATCGCTTATTAACTGTGTAGTTGTGATTAATATCACATTACTATTAATGGTTAATAATTAAAATGGGTTAAAACATTTTTTTTGTTATATACAACATATATCCTTTATTGAATGCAATCTTATTCTAAGCAGGTAAGACCACAAAGTGAAATAATTAAATGTAACATTTAAAGTAAAAAAATAAATATGTTTTTAGTGTTATAAATTTAAATAGTTAAATTTAATATTTATTTTTTAAAACATGACAAAAGCCAACATGTATCACTTTTATAAGTGATTTATAATGCATTACTTTTACTCACTGTTGGATTAATCTCATCTTCATGGTCATACCCTATACCATCCACATTTGAAGTTACATAAAGAAAAAGAACCTTTGGGGAAAAAATCCCCAGAAAACCAAGAAAATCAAGAAAGAAACATAACAAAGAAAAATAAAGTAAAACACTACAAAAATGATACCTTTTGTTATTTTCTGATGAATGAAGGAGATTGAGAAATAAAAATGAAAACTCTACTAGAAAAAAATAAAACTTTCTCAAGAGAGTGATGAAAGAAAAAAGAACTGATGAGGAAAGGTTATTAACTGTGTAGTTGTGATTATTATCACATTACTATTAATAGTTAATAATTAAAATGGGATGAAACATTTTTTTTTGTATATACCACATATATCATTTACTGAATGCAATCTTGTTCTAAGAAGGTAAGTATATATATATATATTGAAATTTTAAGATTAAATTTTATAATGTGCATTTCATGTCATAATTTCATCAACTCTCTTTCCTCCAAATAAAATTAAAACAAATTGTGTATGCACTTGTGACTTGTGTGCATCAACAATAATTGTGGCCTCAAAACTTCTACACCTTTCTTAAGAAGCACCGAGTATAAAAAAATTCTACAGGGTACAGTGACAAAGTGGCAATATTACTTATTATTCTTAACCATACAGGATATGCACTGCCTACATACTAGATACCATACTCCAAATAACAAAAAAAATATAAAATAACGAAAACATGACAGAAGAGCAGTAAATAGCGAGGACAAAATGGACACAAGCATAGCACAAGAGCAACATACCTTGGAATCACAAATATCACCAAACTTGAGAACTACATAATTAGTCATCCGTGACGATGGTGGGACAAAGTTTGGTTTGTTCTGTTCCACCAAGCTTTTTAAATCAACACTGCATTCAAAGAAATGAGATAATAAATTCATATATCAATATATACATATGAAAGAACAAGCTATTAAGCAGAGAGAAAAATACAGTTATCTGATTTTAAAAATTCAGCAATATTACTTTTCCCTAACACTTCATGAATGTAACAATGTAACTGAATATGACACATGGTAGTAAGTATCGCACGATTCGCGATACGTATCGTACGATACGATACGATACAGAGCCTCCGCGATTCGAATCGCATGTAGAATCGTTTTTGATTACGAATCGTATGCGAATCGCTTGAATCGTGTTCGGAATCGGAAAATCGCGATTCATAGGAGAAATCGCACGATTCTGAACATTTTGGGTCACCCCCGAAACCGGGTCGGGTCACGCACGACCCGGTTCTAAAAACCCTAAAAAAATGATTTTTTAAAAAAAAAAAAAACGAAATGAGACAGAAACTCCCGCTTAGACTCCCTGTACATGACCCACTTAGTGGGTTTCACTTTTTGTGGTCCATTTGCGTGGTCCAACTTCTCTGCTTCGTTTGTTTGGGTTGCTGTTCGTGGTCCAAGGTAAGGGCTTCCTTCTTGTTGCTGATTGGGTTGCTCTTGTTGCTGCTTGGGTTGCTGTTCGTGGTCCAAGACTCCAAGGTAAGGGCTTCCTTCTTGTTGCTGTTTGGGTTGCTGTTTGTGGTCCATTCCTTCACTTGTTCTCTCTTTTTTTCTTTGTTATTCCCTCTACAACTTCCCTCTCTTGCTGCTGTCTAAGTTTCTATTTATTGGTACTTGGTAGGCCATTAAAAAATGGGTCATTCAAAAAGAGAGCCGGATATCACTTGGAACTATTGTGATAGTATCCCTCCAAATAGACTCAAAGTAAAATGTAAGTTTTGTTCTCATGTTTGTTGGGGTGGTATTTCAAGGATGAAACATCATCTTGCGGGAACAAAGGAAAATGTGATTGCTTGCACAAGTGTTCCGGATGATGTGAAGGAAATATTTGTCAAGCTCTTGGAAACTAAAGATAAAAAGAAAGAGGATTGCTTGAATATAGAGAATGGGACAGTAAAAGGAAAAGAGGGAACATTTCAAATTTTCCAACAAAAGACAATGAATGAAGTTTGTAAAGATAGGGAATTTGTGATTCAAGAAATTTGTAAATGCATTTATGGTAATGCATTACCATTTAATTTGGTAAGGAGTCCTCTTTTTATTCAAATGTTGAAGGTTGTTGGAGAATATGGGAGAGGTTTGAAGCCACCAACTTATCATGAGGTGAGGGTTTCTTTTTTGAAGAAAGCTGTTGACAACATCCAAAAAAGCTTAGAGAAATATAGAAGTGATTGGGAGAAATGGGGATGCACCTTGATGTGTGATGGTTGGACGGATGGAAAAGGAAGATCACTCACTAATTTTCTTGTTAACAGTCCAAGTGGGACTGTTTTTTTGAAATCTATTGATACTAGTGATGTGATAAAGGATGGGAAAAAAATGTTTGAATTGTTAGACAACATTGTTGAAGAAATTGGGGAGGAGCATGTAGTCCAAGTTGTGACGGATGGGGCTTCTAATCTTGTGGCTGCTGGACAAATGTTAATGGAGAAGAGAACCAAACTATTTTGGTCCCCATGTGCAGCCCATTGCCTTGATCTAATCCTTGAGGACATTGGAGAGCTTCCGGTATTCTATAATACCATTGCTAATGCAAAGAAGATTACTACCTACATATATAGGCATACATGGGTCCTTAATTTGTATAGACAATATTCCAATGGAGGGGAATTAGCAAGACCAGCTGTGACAAGATTTGCAACTTCTTATCTTACACTAAATTGCATTAAACAACAAAAGAATGCTCTTAGATCAATGTTTGCATCGGAGGAATGGGCTACTAGTCCACATGCTAGTAAAAGTGAGGCTAAGCAAGTCATGAACCTAGTGTTGAGTGATGATAGATTTTGGAGATCAATTACATATTGTCTAAAGTGCGTGATTCCACTTGTGAAAGTGTTAAGGCTTGTAGATGGTGATTCAAAGCCAGCCTCACCATACATTTATGAAGCAATGGATAGGGCTAAAGAGAAAATTGCTCAAAACTTTCAAATGCAAGAGTCAAGGTATAAAAAAGTGTGGAAGATTATTGACACTAGGTGGAATCTGCAGCTTCATAGGCCTCTTCATGCAGCTGCCTATTATCTCAATCCTAGGTAAATTATTTAAAAATAATTATCATTTTAAGAACTACTATTTTCTTTGTGCCTAGTAGCTAAGTTATTTCTTATTTGGTTAGGTATCATTATGACAAGAACTTCAATCCGGATAGTGAAGTGTTAATTGGTTTATATGAAACCTTTCAAAGAATGGTTCCGGATATAAGGACAAGAGTTATAATAGATCAACAACTTGAAAAGTTTAAGGGAGCTAAGGAGATCTTTGGAATGGACATGGCAATAGCTACTAGAGATAAGAAACAACCGGGTATCCCTTTAATTTTTACTCTTTATTAATATCATAAACATAATACATAATAATTAATAACTACATTTGTAAAATAAATACATTTTTTTTTGTAGCTCTTTGGTGGGAGAGTTACGGTGGAAGAGGTAAAGAGTTACAAAAGGTGGCCATGAGAATTTTGAGTCTTACATGTAGTGCCACGGGATGTGAGAGAAATTGGAGTACATTTGACCAAGTGCATACTAAGAGAAGAAATCGATTGGAGCAACAAAGATTAAATGCACTTGTATATGTCAAATATAATCTTCAACTTGAGATGAGGCAAAATAGTAGAGAAGAGAATGGAGATACCTATGATCCCATATGTTTGTCAGATATTGAATCCGATGATGAATGGATCACCGAAAAGGAGAATCCTTGCTTGCCTATTGATGCCTCATGGATGGATGTACATGAGTGCTTTGGTGTTGATGAGGGAGCTCCAAAGAAGAAAAGAAAGAGAGGTAATTATTTATATTTAAAAGTTAGTTTAGAACTTGGAAGTTGGAATTAGAACTAGACCTTATTATTTTCTTATTTCTTTTGATTACATAGGTCCAAGAAACTTGAATGCCAAGATTGGTAAGGGAAAATCAATAATAGAAGATGAGGATGAAATTGAAGATAATGAAGAAGAAGAACTTTTGATATTAGAAGATGAAGATGACTTGAGTGATGTAGATCTTGGGGTTGGGGATGATGAATGATCTTGGATAGGGGCATTTTGTATAGATTTTTTGAGGCCATATGACTGAATTTGTGTGGCAGAATTTGTGTGGCAGTAGCACCACTTGTTGCTGAGTTTATGCTGCAACAACACTAATATTTTTTTTGGGTAGCTATATTGCTGAATTAGAATAGCAATCAGTCCTTGGTATATGCATATATTTAGCAACAACAATGATTTTTTTTGGAGGCTTTGTTGTTGAACTGTGCAGTCATTTCTTTTGGCTTTGAGACTGTTTTTATTTGTATAATTGTATCTTTGTTTGTATTGAAGTTTATATGTTACTAATTACTATATATTTATGTATGACTTCATTTTTATATGTCTTGTATGCATATATATACACTATGTTTTTATTGATCATGAATCTTACGATTCACGATACGATTCGATTCACGATTCAAAAAATAAGCCTTCCGATACATTATTTGTATCTCGATTCAACTACCATGATATGACATTCTTTGTTCTCCAATCCTCTCCAAGAAAACAAATGATAGCTTTTTTAAATTTTAATGACAACAATACTAGAATGTCAAACCGAAGATCATGCCTTCTGTGGGTGGACAGAACATCCCTAATATCCAGAGAAGCTATTTAACTACAAGCATAGTTCAATGAGAATAACCAATGATCGCCATTTTGGATCACTGATGACGCATTTTCCAATTTTAAAATTAACACCAAATTTAAGCCATTAATGCAGTAACTCCGTTTTGGAGTTAGGGCTTGTTGCACAATTTATAACTATATTTGTGAATGACAACGGTATGGCACATTTTTATAGTCTTCAACAGTAATTGTTGTGTTGAATGAACCTAAAACACCAAGCAAGGCTTTAAATTACCAATGCAGTCACATTGCGGCCACTACAGACCGCCACAGGCAAACACAGCAAGCTATTTAAATCCCAGGCACTAATACTTCTGACTCAGGAAAAAGATTCTTCTTGCCAAGTAGTTGTAGTACGTAATCATAAGCTCACCATAAGATATGAGTGCTTTGTGGCTATCATCATCATTCAGTACATTATGTATACACATGTAATAATGTATCAGAAAGCAACAAGAGCTAAGCATACAGATAGTTTCTCCCAGCCCCCTGTTTTAACTTTACAATATCAGTTCCCTATCTAAAATACGCGACCTTCTACACCTAGTTAGCCATTCTTTTCAATTAAAATGCTTCTTTAAAGTCAATATGATCCAAACAATTACTGTTTCCTCCAAATCCTTTTCTCACAAATAATAATAACAAGGTTAAATTGCACTTTTAAACCCTCTATAATATTTAATTAGCAATTTTAGTCCTCCAATTCTATAAAATTCAAAATTTTGGTTCACTCATCGAAGATTTTGAGATTAAAATGAGAAGTATTATTTATCCTAAATATTATTAGATATTAATTGTTACGTCATGTACTTAATATCATGTCATGACTAACACTACCAACATCACAATTTTAAGGACGGATGGACATTCAGTTAGGGGACTAAAATTGCATATTAGATATTATATTATAGGAGGAACAATGCAATTTAGCCTAATATATACCTATTATAAAAGGGAAATTGGGATATATAACCGTTTTTGTCTCCATTTTTTAGTGAACCACTATATCCTTCGAATGTAAAAAGAAAAAAAACATGTTTGAATAACTATTCGCATCCTTCTAATATTTGTCGGTGCAAGTAGTAGCTCAACCCATCTAGGAATGATATAATCAAAATTGAAACTATGAAGAAACGTTCCAAACAATTAACCAATCCTACATGTTCTCAATTTCAAATTGAAAAATAAACTAGTAAATGAAGCATAACATGAGCGAAAGTCCTTATCCTGAAAAATTGGGGGGAAATTGTTAGAGTGGAAGAAGAAGGAGTGAGGCGCGAAATGAATATACCTAGTAGAGAAGAAGAAGGCTCTGACAGGAATAGAAGGTTTGGTGTCTTGGTCGACGGTTCCATCGCCGCTGCGTTCAGCGTCGACCTCGGAGCAGGAAACGGCGTCGTTCCAGTCGAGTGTGGGGAGGGAGGAGACGCAGCGCACGAGGGCGGAGCCGAGATGGCGGGAGTGGGCGAAGGAAAGGCGCGTGGTTGGGGGAACGGGGAGAAAAGAGTGGGCGAGGATTGTGGCGACAGTGGCGAAGGAAGAGGAGGAAGAAATGTTGGTGAGTGAGCAAGAGGTGGAAGCGGAAGCTAGAGAAGATGAGGTGAAGAGGAAGGAACGAAGGCGCAAGGCTCTCAGGGTGCTGCAGTCTAAGGTGCGCCACATCTTTTCGTTTCCGAGTTACGCTCAGAGATACACTAGCACCTCCGCAACTAACCCTTATTTATTTATTTGTTTGTTTATTATTTTTTATTGTTTTTTTTTTTTAACTGTTATTAATATTATTAGCTTAAAAAATGAACTATCTAACACCGGCTATTTTAAAAATAAAAATATAAACAAAATAAAGTGAACAGTAAAAACTAAAAAAAGAACAATTTTTGTTTTATTTGTTGTACTTGTAAGAATAATTTTCGACCAATTTTGAAAAGTGAAATTTAAGAAAAAGTATAAAAAAAAATAATAATAATAATAATTTAATAAAAATTTGTGAAGAAAGAAAGAGTAGTTTAAAACAAAGGTATAAGGACATAATTGTTAAAAATATGTATAAGCACATATTTATAGGTACGTCGTATCAAAGGTATAATTAATTTGTTACTAGACATAATAAATATAATTTTGAAGTGTATTTTATTAAGATTTTAATAAATTATAAAAAAAATATATTATAAATTCTTTTGTGGTATTTAATAGACAATCAAAATTTTAAAAATCGTTTTTATTAAAAGACATTTTTAAATATAAAAATTAACATGATACTCAATTAGAATAATTCAATTTTTTTTTAAGTACATCAAAATTTGTTTATATTTAATTAAAATAATCACGATTTTTTTAAGAATCTAACAAAATTTAGTAATATTCAAGACTTTTTTCGCTTAAAAAAATTGTTTACATTCAAAAACAAATAGATTTTAATAGATTATTTTAAATAATAAATTTTGTGAGATTTTTTAAATAAAATTTACATATAATTCACTTGTCCAACAATCACACCAAAACATTTAAGATTTCACATGACTTTTTTTTCCTTTTATTTATGCTTTTCCTTTATTTTTTCTTTCTCATAAATTTCCTTTCTCGCCTTTTTTGTTTCTCTCTTTTTCTCATCTCACTTCTCTTCTCTTCTCTTATTTCTTGTATTCTCTTTTCTCTCTCCTCTTCCCTCCTTATTTGATCTTTTCACTCCTTCTTCTTTGTTTTTTTTTTCTTCTCTATCTCGTTTTCTCTTTCTCTTTTTATTCATCTCTCTCATTTACCTCTTCTTCTTCTTTCTATTTTTCCTCCTATTTTTTTATCTATCAAAATTGATGTATAATTTATCAATATTTATTTTTTTAATTATTAAATATTTGAGCAATAATTTTCAAATTCAATAAAATGAATGAGAAAATATCAATTCATGTTAAGATATAGGTAACGAAATGTTACTTATATCACTACAAAAAAAAAGTGTGATTAGTGACAGTTACTTTTGAAATTTTTAACAGTTATAAACAGCAATAAATCACGTTTTCAGCATCATTAATAACCATTAGAATCACAATTGCCAAAAATTATTTGTGGCAAATATTTTCTAAACACGGGTTTTGGAGCTAGAAAATTAAGTCACTTTAATTTATGACAATTTTAAGCCTTCACAAAATGCATCTTTGTTTGACTTGCTTCACATTTGTTGGCTATCTTAAACTGCTAAAACATGCATCCTTGTTTGACTTGCTTCACATTTTCTAACAGTTTTAAACCACCAAAAAATGTATTTTTGTTTGACTTGTCTCACATTTTCGAACAGTTTTAAACCACCAAAAATACACTTCAATTTACATAAATTATAATTTAAAACTGCCACATTTTTAGTATTTTAAAGATAGCTATTTTAAATTCTTATTATAAGTTGGAAAGTCTATATATTTTAGATATTTATCAAATTATTATTTAACATGGTCACTAATTATATTAGTCATTTGAAATTAATAGTGACCATATTATAGGTTTATAATCCTTTGAGGTTCAACTAAATTAATATGATCTCAAAAGGTTTAATTAAACATAACTAAGAGGGAATGAAGGATACCTTATGTTAATTTACCTTAAAAGAGAACATATAAATATTTGAGTAAATATTTGAACATATAGGAACTCGATAAGAGAACACTTAACCCTAAAAATTCTTTTATATTAAACTATATGAGATCTCTTATTAATCTTGATTTTGATTTCTAAATTTTACTTACAATCAATCTTAGAATTACTCTCAACTTAACATTTAAGTATTTTTAAATCTCATTTATTTAATTTAACTAAATATTAACAATCATAATGTCAAACAAGTGGTCCCTATGGATTTGATAATTTATTATTTTATGACAATTGTACACTTGATGTTTTCTCACATCAACGGGCCTTTATGGGTTGACAACCTAGGTGCTAGAAATTGAATTTTTGTTGAGTGACAATGGATTGCTTATAGAGCAATGATGAACATGATGAAGTTATGTTCAATGACATAAGGTCACTGGGCAAGCTTTAGCAAGTATTGTTCACTTGGGTCAATTTGCTCGGTGAGACATTCTTGTCAAGTGAGCTTTGGCATCTATGATAGGATTGGGAGCCTCACTTAACAAGGTAGTCACAGTAAGCGAGACATAGTTTTTAACAATTGGACCATTCTTAACATGTTAAGCGAGGAAATCTCGTTGAGTGAGCAATGGCCTTTACGAAGAAGTTCTCTTTGGAGCTTGCTATGATAATTGGTTGTGCTTAAGTGAGCTTTGGTCCTTACTAGAGATCTCTATAGGAGGTTGCTTAGTGAGCGGTGCACATTGGACAAGTTTTCCTCCTTGGAATTGGGGTTGCTCAATGAGTGTAGCTCGCTCAACAAACCCCTTGTTTTTGTTGAACTCTAAGTTGGTTGTGTTATTCTTGTTAATTAATTGAAAAAGTTTGATAATCTTCCTATGATATTGATGTATGGTTAAACTATGTTGCAAGTTGACAAAATCGAGTGTTTGTACTAAGTTGTATGATATGTAGATTGGAAGTTATTAAGTTGTTTGTTGTATGTTTATTAAGTTGTATGTTGTAAAGTAGAAAGTTGCATGTTGAAGTTGTTTAAGTTGTAAAGCATCCATTTGAAAATGCATGTTTTTTTAAAGTTGAAAGTTCAACTAAAGAAGAATAAAGTTATTTCACATTGTGAAGATCTCATTAGGGATCTAAAGTTGTGATACTTTTAAATTGGGACCTATTTAGATTGGGAGATGAAAATAGAACAACTCTTCACTTGCAACCAAGTGAGTGAAGAGAGAAAGGTTCCTTTGACTATCTTAAGCTTCCAACAGTATGTCATGTATTGGGGGATATTCCTAACTAGAGAAAGAAGAATCAACAATGACCCCCCAAATAGTTATTGAAATGATCTCAAAGGAGCCATGAGGAGATTGATGGAATCATGTCCAAGGGTTCCATCCAAAAGGAGCTTAGAGGAATGTGTTAAGCAAGTAAAATCTAAGAGGATTGGGCCATAATTAGTTAGTGGGCCTAAGCTCATGTTGAGCTATAGGCTACTGAATATATAAGTCCAATAACTCTTGTACACTTGTATATAGTTCCTTTATTTTTAAGTCTTGTATTTTGGGCCAAGTTGTATAGTTACTTTATTATAATTTTCATTATTGTGTAATTTTTGGGCCTACGAGGTGTATCTCATTTTTGGGTCATACATTAATATTTGATTTGAAATTACATGTGGCTAACCAAACCAAGCACATGGGGGAAAACATAGTGTTACAAATTCAAATTTAAATATTAATCTCATGGAGCCAAAAACAAGTCACACCTTCCTTGCTTGCCACATGCCTCTTTTTCATTGGTTAGTCTAGATCTTAAATTTAGAAGCACATAGTGTATGTGGCATGTTGGAGCCTAATTTTATGTACCCATTTGGGACGAGAAAGGAACAAAAAACCCTAATGGAGGACCATCTTTAAAGAACATAGGACCTTTGACAAGGTCTATGATTATGAGGCTAGAAGAAGCTACTAGAGAGGATGTACTTCTTAGACCTATGCTTATCATGAGCATAGAGTATGTGTTCTCCTCCAAGTTGCTTAGTCTTCTATTGTATATATTTTGTATAGTTTATTCTCCATTCCTTTGTAAATAGTAGTTAAATGTATATGTTGTTTTTACCCTTGTATTTAGGGGTGTACATATGTGGGTAATTACCCACAAATATATCTGTCTGTAATTTCTCACGAATGTATATCACGGATGTATCTGTGGGTCACGTCTATATTATTTTAAAAAATTCATTTCAAAATTGTTATTAAATTATTAATAAACCTGTTTATAATATTATTAAATAAAAATAAATAAGTATAAGAACATTAATTTAATTAAAATAAATATAAATGGAAACAAGTTCAACCAATTCATATTAATTTCATTTGAACATAGTTTGGTTTTAAAATTAGACAATAAATTGAAACAAAACAAAGTAAAGTTTGATTTTTTAAATTAAACATAACATGAGTTCTCTAAATTTTAATAGTTAGAATATCCTGACGAATGCTGATGTTGTTGGTCATTAGCTTGTTCATCATTTGTTGCTTGTTGATTGCCATCATTTTGTTATTGTTGCTCCTAGGGTTGACTGTTAGGTTGTTGTTGTTGACTGTTTGATTGTTGTTGTTGAAGAGCATTTTGCATGGTAGATGGTAAGAAAGGAAGTATAGCAGTAACAAAGGTCTGAAACTGAGTCTAATATTAAGAGTGCAAGGTCTGAAATTGAGTTTGATATTGAGAGTGCATTTAACGCATCTCCTCCTCATTAGCTAAAACTCGTTGTTTCAACTAAGTAACCTCCTGTGCATTTTGAGACTGACTTGAAGATGTCTCTATCTAATGCATAAAACTACCATCTCCATTCTCAAAACCTTGAGAAAGATCTCCTACACCATAACGATGTCCCTTATATTTTCCACCCACAATTGCATCCCAACATCAACTCCTAAGTCTTTCTTCCTCAACAGAGTCTAAAAGGGGCGCATTCTGAGGTACCAATAGTGGATCCAACCTCAAACCTCGCTTGAGAAAGTCTAGTCTTAAAGTTTTCCTGTTATCATTATAAACATTGTGTAAGAATATAGTAAACATTAATAAAATTGAAAATAAGTACAAGCAACATAAAGGGCT